GGTTTTGAACGCGGTTGAAATATATTGGGTGGTCTCTGGATTGGAGGATGAATTTAGCTCTGCTCCTTCAGAAACCTGTTGGGGAGGAGTTAGACAAGGCTCCAAAGGGGTTAAACTTTTCAGTTTTCTAGGAAGTATTCTTTCCATAATGTTTGCTGAAAGACTGTGGATCAGTCAAGATGAGAGGCTATACAGCTGAAAAGAGCTACTCTCCAGAAAAGCCTGCCCTTTTAGATCTACTTTTTGTACCCTATTCATAGGTCTATACCCCTACGCTTCCCAATCATACTCAGACACATGACAGTGAGATGGAAAGTATTGTTGCAGTTGGGAGAGTTTTCTGTGGTTGCTCTCCGGCAGCCACCAAGCATTAGTGCATTTCTTTCTCCAAGATCAGCTTGAGGAAATCTTGGAAGTGAGCTGAGATCAGTGCTACAGGGAGCAGCTGCCTGTGGGAAGCACCAAAACAGACGCGTCTGTGCCATCCGCAGTCACAGGGCAAGAACAGAGGCTCTGTTCTCCTATGTCCCAAGGGAAAGGAGACCAAAATGTCTTTTCCATTCAAATAGTGGGTGACTTGTGTGTCCAAAACTTCTGCCAACTTGGGGGTCCCGAGGGAAAGCTTTTAAGTGAAGAATGCAACATAGATTCAGATCCTGAATACGTCCTTCTTGTATTAGCACAGAGAAGCACTCTCCATTCCTCTTTCAACATGTGTTCCAGTTCATTGCCCTCTCTTCCTCAGTCCATGCTGCTCAACCATGTGCTTTCTCCAAGCTGCCAAGAACATCCATCTCACTTTTGTCACAGGATGATGCTTTTTGTGCAAACATAAATATTTAGAGAAGTTTACAAAAGATTAAGCTTCATCAAGTCAAGCATTCCTGCTAATGCAGTGTCGGGACAAGTCAGCAGGGAGCAAGAGCCTGGGCTGCTGTGCACAGCTGTTGCAAGACCACACTGTGGAACATTCATTTTTGACTCCACCAACTTCACTGATCAAAACCATTTTGCAAGTTGGCTCATGTTTTTTTCTCTCTATCAAAACAGCTGCTTCAGTGTGCAGGCTTCGTCTCTATTGTGAATCTCTTGCCTCAGTTTCATTGTTGTTATGCAAATTCCTCATGCAGATATGCTGCACTTGCTGCACCAGAGAAAAAAATCCATGTTAGGGAAGTCCCTCAGATGCACCTCAGAGCAAAAATAGTTGGGAGATCTGCCCACAATGTTTGTGCTCTGATAGTTTGGGTTTCACTCTGATTGTCAGTACCTGAGAAAAATTATGGCATGTTTAATAAAGGGAGACTTCAAAAGACATAAAGAATAGGGGAAAATCCCAAGTAAGAATATCATAAGGGAATATAAAACTGTTGAGGTTTTGTTGTTGTTTCTAGTAAGGTAAAGCAAACAAACAGAAGTCATTCCAGAATTCATGCAAAATAAGTAATAAGAATACAGAAATACACGCAAGGGAAATGGGTGCATGTATGCAAACACATCAGTGTGCATTTTCTTTGAGGGGCCGTGTCCGTCTTCAGTCTCAAGTACTGACAGTTTGGCTTTTTGCTCCAGTGGGAAGTAGATTTGTCATACCAGCTCAAATACTATCTACCTCTTGGACAGCTCACAAGTAACGCCACTGCAGTGACAATCAGTGAAAAAAAAGAGCTGTCTGGCATGCTTTTCTTCAGTGCTGTTTTGCTGCCCCTTTCTAGTGAGGAAACCACAGGAAATCCACAGGAAATCCTACCTTCCTAGAAAAATATCCTGCTTCCTCCTAAGCAGGAGGCTTGACTGTGGGCATTTTCAGCTCAACATGACTGTGGGCATTTCTGAGCCAGGCATGTCGAAAGAGAACAATCTTTCATAGGAAGTGTCTCGAGCCTCATTGTTTGAGATGCTGAGAACCAGAGTGGACAAAAAACAGCTGGCCTGATCAAGTGTCGATGATATTTTGGGCAGGAATGTTGGACCAGATGACCCCCAGAAGCCACTTCTAATCAACTTTTTTATGTTTCTATGAAGTCACGTTAATCTAACAGGGTTTTTTCCATCTTTAAAATCTGTGCTTCTATGATAAACACTGCTAGGCCTTGTATTTGGTCCCATTCTTTTTAAATAATCTTTGTCTGAGATTTTTAATTATGGATGCATGTAATTAAAGCATTGGTTTTACTGCAAGATATGAATTAATTATGCTATTCTCTGGGAATGCTAGAATATTTTAAGCGTTCTTCCAGCAAGCTGAATTATCAGTGCTTTAATACTTTCAATATATTCCTGTAACTGAACCCATTTCATAAACCTAAAGAGGTGACATTAAATTTAATAATGCAATGAGAAATATGCTTAAGGTTGTAGGCCTGTGACTTTGATGACTAATATGAATGGATAAATTGAAAGTCGCTCATCATTTAAACTTGCAAATATAGCTGAAATGACTTCATGGTTCAGGCTGAAATACAATCTAACTGAATTAAAGAGAGGTTTGTGGTTCCCTTAAGGTGGTAGATCTCATCCACAGTTTATGAGATTGAGGTGTAAGCTCAAAGAAGTAAATCTGAGGAATAGATCTGCTGTAGGTAAATTGGGGTTAGTTGCTGTTTTGCAGAGCTTTGACTCCCAAATATATTGCAAAATTTGGATCCACCTCCTGCTTCCCCTGGTCCTAGTGGATGCCCCTTGCTGTGCTGTGCTTCTGTGCAAAACAGAGATGGGCAAAATAGTGAAACAGTGACCGGGTGCCCTCAAGCTGCACTGACTTGAGAAAACATCATGCAGTTTTTTCATCATATGATTGTTGCCAGGGGGCCTGCAGAAGCCATTCCTCCCAAACTCTGCCTGTGCTCAGTGGAGAGCAAACTGCCAAGCGTACGAGGTCTGGTGTAGAGAGTAAGGGGTGAGCCAGGGCAGGAGCCTGAGTCCATGGGGAGTCATTTTTTGTCTTAGTGAGTAACCTCTGAACAAGGTGGGTGGTGAGCCCTGCAGCCCAGATACTCTGCCTAAGCTGTAGTGTGGCAGGGTGGGCTCAGCTCAAAATAATGTTCTTACCAGTGTGCAAGTCTCTCGGCTGCCAGTAGTTTGCATAAAGATGCATATCCCTAAGTATAAAAGCTCATCGCTTCCAAACTTGGTGGAGCCTTTGATAACAGCATGTAGGTTATTCCTGTTTTCATTAGGAAACAGCTAATGCAGTGTATCAAATTTGTATCAGTTTACTATGGTTTCTATCACCTGGAAAAATTTGAAAAAATGAATATTTTTAATATCAGAAAGATACTCTGTCTCCCACAGCAACTAAAGCCAGAAAAACAAGAGGAGAGATCCTGGCAGTTATGTACCTAGAAACCCCTTCAATCTCTTTGTGAAAACTTATCGTTGGTTTCAAGCATTTCGTTTTGGGCAAACCTTAAACTAGAGGAATTAGGATCAGAAAAACAAGTTGCTGTCAGATGATGATTATTTTCCACCATTCTGGTAGCATGCACAAAGTAGAGGAAGCTTTCCAAACCAAGAAGAGGATATAGTCCCTGTTCCAAAGTACATGAGTGTAAAGAGGCAGGGTAGGGAAGAGGACGGATGGAGCTACAGAACAGAGAGCAATCCGGGTAATGCTAGCCATGCATCAGATGAATTACAGCTGGTAGAGAGAGATAGCAATTTTTCTGGAAGAGAAGGGAATCAAATTCATTCCCGTTTAGTAAATGAATGTGGCTTGGCCAAATGTTTTTGTGAATGCATTTTTATTTTAGGACGTAATTTCTTTTTTCCTCACGTTAATTTTTAAGAATGGGAAACAAATATTGTACTTCCAGGTTTTATCAAGATGTTTTCTTGGGGAAAAAGGACAATTGCAGCAAAATTCCATTTAAAAATAATGTTTATCAGATTCCAGTTATTTCTGTTGGGTGTAAATACTCAAACCTATTCCTAAGTAAGAAATTCCTTTATTCCTGGAAGATGAAGGAAAAAGGTTTTGTGCTCAAAATCCACATTTTAGTTGCAGAGACGTTAAAACAAGTAGTTTGAATAGAAAAAAAGCTCCAATTCAGGTGTACAAAACACTACAGAATTAAAAAATCGTGTAAATATTATCTTCCCTCGCCACTATGTCCTTGAAGGGCAAGCCCTTTCTTTCAGGCTTCTTCTCAGCCCAATGACTTTCTGGGTTGCTGCAAACTCTACATAGTCCCTCTGTGTCTCACATGATCCAGTCGCTCTCTTTTCAGAGGAACATGCATAATAACATAAAACAAACAACTAAACCAAATGCCATACGTCACGGTTTGCAATATAAAAGTGCTGGTTCAACTGGTGTCTTTGAAGAATGTGCAATGAAAATATTTTAACAAAAGAACGCGGAAAATTCAAAGTGTTTAAAGCTAATTCCTGCAAGAAAAGAAGCGTGTGTCATTATTCTTTCCACCACCACCCTGTGTTCACATCAAAGTCATTAATTTATTTTCTATTTAGAAGGTTACTGGTAGCAACTTTCCATTCTTTGAGGTAAATAGGGAGAGCCACTTTTAGCAATGCCTTTTCTTTATTGCCTACTCATAAGAAGAATTGCTGCTTAAGACTAAGGGAGCTTTTTAAGATGGATTTAAATAATTCTTTGAAGGAGAATGAGAAAGTATGTGGAAGGAAGTGTGCTGAAGCATCTATAGTACAGATTTGAGTCCATGCGACTCTGCTAGCAAGGTCTGTGACGGGCACACCAGGCTCTGCAAGTGTCTTTCTGTGTTTCAGCTTGCATAATCTGTCTTTATCTAGTCATATCTTGAGGCTCAATAAACAGAAGCAGCAGGCCTGAGTGTCCTGACATTACCCTCCCCAGCCAGTAACAGACACATGGAATATTTGGACAAGCATTTGTTTCTGTTTTCAAAATTTCATACATGATTGTAACATCACAGAAGAGGAGATTTTAATAAACAATATGTTTCCTTAGGATAACAGCTCTGATTTGGGGGTTTTGTTTTTTGTTGTTTCCTTTGCAGGAAGACGGTATCGTGAAGGAAATAGACATCAGTCATCATGTGAAGGAAGGTTTTGAAAAAGCAGATCCTTCTCAGTTTGAGCTGCTGAAAGTATTAGGACAAGGTTCATATGGAAAGGTAATTTTTAATGCCATCTAATCACCTAGAGCAACACTGAAAATGTCATGTCCTTTCTCTGAGTTCATTTACACTGGTCACATTGTTCATATATAAACTATATTGTAAAGGCAGATAAGCAAACCCAAACCCCTTCTATCTTCATTTTAATAACACTTTTATAACACTTTTGCCTTTTGGCTGGATTCCTGTATGTAAAACAGTTTGGAAAACTGCGCTTATGGCTCTGGACCTGGACTAATGAGCACAAGCATGCATTAGTAAGCACCACTTAAAAAAAAAAAGGGATATGCCCCCTCCCTTTTCCTGAAGTACCCACCAGGGAGGTGAGTGCACTACTGCTGCGGAGTTGAAGAATGTAGATAGAGGCATTCAAAGGCTTACAGAAGTTAGCTGCCCAATTCCTGCT